AGAATAATAATGTATGAATGTGTGTATGGATGTTTTGTATATTCAAGAAAATCCTAGATTATCCATTTGCATTGTAAACAATAGATGGGATTAAACTGATAGCACCTGTTTGTAGCTGTGGGTGTCCAGATGAGTAGAGTTCAGAAGGGACATAATCTCCTGATAAGATAAATCCTTTCACATTTGCCTTCCCATTTCATGCTGGATATGCTATTTCAGTAAAAGAGAGAGCACACCCATGTTCTGGAGCACAGTTCCAAGAGAAACCTGCAAGAACAGGTTATCAGTAGTCTGGATCTTCTCTTGACTGAAATGGATGCTACGGGTCAGGGTGTCTTTATTTAAGCATCGCCACAATGTGGCATCGCACCGTAAATACCACAATACATAAGTATTTCCTAAATATATCAGAAGTACACATAGTCATTTTATAAAATAAAATATTAGAAATCATTGAGTAAACTATTTGTACTTTAATAAGTTTTTCAAAATAATTATGCTACAAAACCATTACCTAGGGGCTGTAGAGATGACTCATGGATAAGAACATTGACTGTTCTTGCAAAAGACCTGGGTTCAAATTCCAGCACCCACATGGCAGCTAACAATTGTCTGTAACTCCAGTTCCAGGGGATCCAACAGTCTCTTCTGTCCTCCACAGGCATTGCACAATACGGGTGCACTTACCTACATGCGGCAATTGCAAGCATACGCATAAAATAAAAATAATAAATATTTTTAAAAAACATTACCTAGCACCAAAAGCAGAAAGAATAGAAACTATTATGTTTTTATTTAATAAATATTTGTAGAATATATACTGTATAGCAGACAGTTCCATACTTTTAAAAATATTATTCATTTATTTAGTCTTTACAAAGTTAACATTATCTGTTTGTTTTAAAGGTCCCAGGGTTAAGGAGCTTGTCCAAGACTGCAGAATTTCATAAGTGGCAGGGCCAGAATTCCGTTCAAGTGCTCTAGTTCCATAATTTATAATTTAAACTGCCACTTATGCTTCTTATACAGTCAAAACAAAATTATATAAGTAAGCATATATATTCTCAAAAAATGCTTCACAACCATTTTCAGACTTAAGCAGACTTTAAAATACCATTCATTCTGGATTATTTTTCCCAGTTTATTCATTCACCAATTGCTTAATGTCCTCTGTGCCAATACATACATCGGGAAAGAGAAATAAAGCAATGAGTCGTCTCTTAGAGTTCACAGAATAGTGACAAGAGCTAGAAAGAGGTAATTTATGGTATGACAAAATAATATAAATGCATTCATCTTTAAATATAAACCATCTTTATGATCATATTCTCAATGCATTCAGGATTTCTATAGGAATAAACCAGACACAACTGCCTAGCACCTTGGTTACTTGATATACTATAGTTATATCAGCAACATAACTGATGCCAAGAGGCACAAAGATAGGTTTAATATTTTGGAGAACTGACAGACAGGGCACTACAGGGTTTGAAGAAAGGTTATATGGAGTTTACTATTTAAGAAAGATGATACTAATAAGAGTAAACCTGAAGGGTGGTGAAGCTGGAGGCCACCTACTTGTTAGTAGACCTCTGAAAGTGCAGGGATAATGAGTCTGATTAAGGTAATGGCTGTAAATAGTCAAAGAGGAGGTAAGTTTTTGAGGAGTATTAGAAGGCGTTATGACAGAAACCTAGGATATGCCATTATCCCTTCTCCAGCCCCTAACATAGAAGGCCTCGCTCAAGGAATAGTAAGAGCATCTGAAAAAAAGGAGAAGTTTAAGTGCATGGTCTGTAAATATCAGGCAAAGGAATGGCAGACCAGCCTCTGGTGTTCTAAGGAGTTCCCAACTCCTACAACCTCAGAATACATTACTTCAACATGGTAAAAGGATTGCAAATATGATTAAAGTTATGGACTAAACGTGAAGAGATTTAATGTAATCAAATGAATTTAAGAGCTGTGATTAAATGGACATAATGATGGAAGTTGGGGAAGAAGAGACTAGAAAAGTGGGTCTCAGCCCACTGTTGCTCATCAGAAGATAAAGGAAGACAGCTCCAACATAAAGACTGTGGACAGCCTCCAGAAAGTAGACAGTCCTTGGCTAATAGCAAAGAAACAGACCCCTCAATCCTACAACAGCAAGAAACTGAATTTGGCAAAAAACCTTAATGTGCAAAAACACCTAAATTTTTCCATTGAGCCATTGGGAGGAAGGACAAACAGGCCTGTGGACACTGATTTTAGCCTACTGAGTTCCAAGTTGGACTATAAAATAATAAATTGGTGGTGTTTTGAGCTGCTAACTTTGTGGTAATTTGTTACAACAGCAGTAGCAAAATAACATCAAATCTATGTTTAACTTTTTCCGAAAAGACTCAAATATATCGATTTAAGAATAATGTAGTATGCTAATACAAATTTAACTTCTTAAAGTCAGCAATTTTAAAATATGTTAGAGGCATAAATCAATGTCTTTAAGTTTTATTGTTAAATTCTTTACAACCTAAAAGTCATTAAACGGCAAAAAGAGGAGATAAGATGCTATTGTATTTGCTTTGTATTTAAAGGTAACGGAATAATCAATTTTTCTTTCAAGTACTCAGTAAATGAATGCAATATATTCTTAATTTTTTAGAAATATTTAAAACCCTACAGCAAGCTCTTCATAAGGTTCTTACTCGGCACGACAGTAGGTATAAATTCTGGGCTTAAAACAATGTGCTGAATTTACAAAGGCAAAAACACTATGCCTTGCTTATTATCTACATATTTGCAGAACTGACCTCTATTAGCTCCTAGAAATAAAGGCCATGTCTGTCTTTTCTCCAGCTTGCATTCTCATCAACACTGTCTAGCAGTTCTCCTGGCCCCAGCAGGTTTTGTTGAATAAATGATTGGAAAATGTTTTTAAAGCAAGTTGAACAACACTAGAAAAGCTTCTGAAACTTCAGTTTACTAACAAATTAGAGAAGTGTTACACTATACAGAGGTTAAATCCAGAAATTTTAAACATTTTCAACAGTTTTTCAATGTAATATTTCCCTGAATTCTCAAAATTCATTTAAGATAATTCAAATTTCCTGTTAAGTTGGCGTCTTTATAATCAAGACTATGACGTTCATGTGACCTGCAGAAAACTCCACAAACTAAAATTGCTTTCCAAAAATGTCTATGTCCAACTTTTTAAGATGTTTATGTACTGTGCATGTGGGTGTGGGTGCAAGCAGAGGTCAGAGGTCAGCTTGATGGAGTGGATCCTCTTCTCCCACCTGTGAGTTGCAGAGATGAAAGCAGGTCCTCAGGCTTGGCACGGGCACCTTTATTCACTGGGATACCTATTAGCACCACCTTTTGTTTTCTGTTTAAAATTTTCACCTTTGACCCACTCATAAAACCCTGTATGGTAACACGTTGTCCCAGCACTCAGTAGGCTAAGACAGATTGACTGCTGTCAGGCTGAGGCCAATCAGGGCTACACAACCAAGCCCCGTCTCAAAAACATTTAGTGAGTCACAGCTCATCTGTAGGCTACCTGAGAGGCATATGGACACCTTCCTTCACTAGTGAAAGGCCTGCTCTTCCTCAAGGAGAATTTCTTGACCTCTTCAACAGCAATACTCAATGTAATAGGAACCTACTTTAAGTGATTTTAAATTTTCATTAACACTTCTAATGTATAATCAAAGCCCCTCCCCCCTTTATGCCCCTCCCCCCTTTATGCCATGTCTTAGAATCCTGTCGATGTTTTACACTTTAACCAATTATTTCAAATAAATCTCAAATAGCTAGAGTAGCCCCCCCAGAGAACAGCTGCATCTCTACAAAGCTCTCTCTGGCTCCCACCTGAATGCCACACCCTATCAACTTGAACTGTGTCATCTGCACTGTTGGTCTAATTGATGGGAAGGAATTTTTTCACCAACTCAAGGTTTGCCTTTTCTCCTCCAGCCCATTTTGTCCCCCAAATCTTCACAGTGCACAGAAGGCAACGCTGGAGGGATAGGTGCTGGCAAACTGTATCTTTAATCTAAAAGTGAATCTGGGCTTGGGCAATATTGGAGTTCCTTGTCTTTAGCTTGTCCGTGTTTCATACTCTTAAGAGCTCTGGTCCACGGGGTGATTCCTGAAATAAAATACACAAAGAGTGTGTGTGTGTGTGGGGGGGGGTTGTATTCCCGTGTTATGGCTTCCTAGGGCTAGGTTGTGTCTAACAGCGCAGGGGTGGTAGCGTCCTGGGGGAGGGGCAGTAATCAAAATGTTGTTAAAATCTGTTCTGGGTAGGAATCTTTACCCGGTTTCATCTAAACCATAAAAGGAACCCATCAGACAAGGCCATTTCTGCTCCAGAGGCCACAGCGATTTCCAGGGCTGCAGTCAGTGCCGCCGGGTGCCGGTCGCCTCCCACTGGGGTCCGCCGCCTGGGTTCTCCCGTGCAGCCCCCGGATGCCTGGCCCACATTCCCGGCCCAGACAGCCCCTACCCGCCATCTGTCACCCGCAGCCCTCGTCCCGCGGTCAGCCCCAGCTGGCCCTCCCAGAAGCGGAGGTCCCAGGTGCGCAGGCGCCCCGCCTCCACCCGGCGGCGCTTCTCGGGCGGCCAGCGCCGGCATCCACAGGCCCAGGGCCGCCGGCCCGCAATGCCCCGGCGTCCCGAAGGGACTTGACTTGGAAGCCTCTTCACGCCCGGCCACGACCCCGCGCTGACCGGCCCGTGACTCCTCTGCCAATCAGAGGAGGCTTGGCCGACCAATCACAGGGTCCGGAGTGTCCCCTTCGGCTCTTCGGCTCTTCGGCTCTTCGGCCCTTCGGTTCCTCGGCTCTTCGTTCCTTCGGCCCTTCGACCCTTCGGTTTTTCAGCTCGTCAGCGTTCTTTGTGGCGAGCAAGGAGCCCACCTTCCTGAGCGCTGGGAAGCACGGTCACCTCACGGCCTATTCCTGCCACCCCACCCCCACCCCCA